TATATACATACATATATACAATATATATATTTCATAAAATGTCACGAAATAAGATGTATGCATAAAAAAATAAATGTGTATTTTAAATGGTAGCAAAATATCATTTCACCACACATAATCAGCATTTAATTATGTAACAAGCTTATCACTTGTCGTGCAATTGAAGTGAATTATATGTTGAACGAAATATAGTATGAATAGTATGAATATGTATATATAGTATAGTATGAATTATTTCTCTTTTTGTACAATATCTTTCTAAAGCTAGAAATAAATGTGTATTTTAAATGTGTATTTTAAATGGTAGCAAAATATCATTTTACCACACTTAATCAGCATTTAATTAAGTAACAAACTCATCACTTGCCGTGCAATTAAAGTGAGTTACATGTTAAACGAAATATAATATGAATAGTATGTATATATAGTATAGTATGACTATGTATATATGAATTTTTCTCTTTTTGTACAATATCTTTCTAAAGTTAAAAACTAGATAAAGAAATTGAGCTACATGCAATAATGCACGCGCACATTGTATGTGGCAAACAGTACAATAAGTTAAAGTGAAAAACACATGCAAAAAACAATACATGTTGAAACAAGATAAATAGAAAAGTGACAACGTATTTTCATTACTGTGTCGAGTGTCAATTACATCCTATAACATAAAATTGACGACAATACTAATTGTTTACTGTTGAAATTCGAGCCATTTGACCGACGATATTCGTACAGTACACAACGGATCGTTCTTACCAAATAAGAAATGTTGAAAATCTTTCGTTTTCGCGGGGTTTTGTCCAAGTGTCAACCCGTGCGATTCTACGGAGTACAAATAAATCAAAATATCGATTTAAAAAAAGCGATTGAATCAATGGCATGCGTCAAACAACCAGGCCAACCACCCAAAGTTTGGCAATTGCTTGAAAAAGTAGGCAAAGATGGAAAACCATTGAAATTCACAATTCAAGAGATTCCTGAGGACAGATATGAAGAAGCAATTCAATACCTGTGCAAAAATCTTGTGGCTAAAGAACCGATCACCAAATATTGGAGTAAGTTTCGTCATTTTTGACTAACGAATAATAAGTATCATTTCACGATTTTCACTAAATTTTTCATATTTTACAGATTTAATAAGAAGCTGTAAAACATCTCATAAAGGCTATTTCTTTTATTATATTTATCAAAATTATTATATAACAGTATTTGTGATCTATTTTTATGCGAACGCACACAAATAAAGCAAAATAATTATTTTTGATGATTGTATTCTTCACCATTTTTTTATTTTTCTTATTTTCAGACCCCAAAAATGATCCTCTAATCTTAACAGACTTATGTACATTGTGGACTATATTATTCACACAAAACATATCCATAGCCGCCTTCATCGACAATCCTAATGGCGGGAAACCAATAATCGCCGGCATAAATGTTTTAGGTGTTTCCATTAAAGGCCATAAAGACGGTATCTCAGAATACAAGGTGAGCTCTATTAATTTTCTTCAAAATATTTTTTTATAGTTTTTTAGTTTTATAGTTTTCTAATAAACATTTAATTCTTTCTTCGAATCACTATATTTTTCATAGAAGCTTCCATAGCATATTAATAACTTTATTGTATTAATGAGAATCAAGCCGTAGATATTGTACATAATTAAATATGTAATGTTTGCCAATGTGTTTCGTTCCTTTTATCGGCCCTCCTTTTTCTATTCATATTTTACATGAAAAAGAGATATTCCATCCTTTTAATTTTAATAGTTGCAATATGTATAATATGTACAATACTTGTATTGTACATATTATACATATCGCACCTATTAAAATTAAAAATACTAATATGTGTATAATATGTACAATACTAAGTATTGTACATATTATACATATCGCAACTTAAACAAACGCTGATAAATGTTGCAGTTCATGTCACCAATCTCCAAAAATATATTCGAACTCATAAACGGCCCAACTAAAATAATATATGAACGTTACGAAGTAAACAAATATATAAATGGTATCGCACTTAGTGTAGGACCCATCTACCGAGAGTACGGATTAATCGTAGATTTTCTAAAAATCAGGTATGAGAGATTTATATTAAAATATTATTTTATTTAATTTGTGAAAAAGTAAATACCTCGCAATTTGCAGTTCAGAGTTCTTAAAGTGTTCTTACGTAGTTTAAAACGAAATATAACTTTCCTACTTTTTCTGAAAAGTTTTATCTCAATAATATAGATGTGTTTGTTTATTTACATACGATAAATTTATCAATAAATTTTGATCAATAGCTGAACAATTCAAACAAACCATTTATTTACGAAACATTTTGTTTCAAAAAAGATTCGCAGCAACAAAATTCTTAAAAGAAACGTTGTAAATCTATGAAATATGTGTATGGTGGAAGATTTTCATAACTCCTAGCAGAAATAAATTCAAAATTCGAAGTTAAGACTTTTTATTTCAATTTATCGCACTCAATATTTAGTTTTATTAAATTATCTATTTGTGTAATTAATTTTACTCTTTCATATTTATTTATCAATACTTTGCATGGTTTAAATCCCGATTTAGGGATCAAATCGCACGTGAGTATGATATACCGGCGGCAACCGCGACATTCACATCAAAAATCTTACAAAAAATGGCGATGAATGTGGGATTCGAGACACTGGTAGAGAGAAAATTTGCCGACATAGTGGACAAGAACGGAAAACAGCAGTACTCCGGTATCAAAATTGAATCACTTATAACCATGGGAAAAAAGTTCTCTTAGTGTAATCACGTGTCACGTGTGAAACACGCAAGAATTATGCAAGGTAAATTGCTTAATTTCGTGACATAAAATTATTTTTGTAATTTTTATTACAAACAATTTGATATATTCATCGTATATTGTTTTGATCTGTAATGTGAATAACAATGAAAAGGTCTTTTTCGATATTTCGAGCGTATTATGATCTGCTTGCCGACGTGCGCTGAAAGGCAAGCGAGTAAGCTTCCGTTCTGGTAAACAGCGGCATTTGAATGCATTTGGTAAATGTTACAAAGTTTTAACACATTTTCGCACATACGCGATAAAATGCGAGATGTTACATTTCCGCTATGTCGGAATATAATTTGAAATTCGTGATATCACTGTATCGATCGCGCGGCTAGAATTTTACGCGGTTTGACCTATTTATGGCATGCCAAAGAAGGAAATCTAATTTAGGACTCTGTATTTCCTACACGATAATCGATATTAGGTTATTATCTTTTCTACATTGATTGCAAAACACAATAACCAAAATGATCGTATTTACTGTTAAGCTAAACAGAAAAATCACGATAACCTTACTTCTCGAATCATAAAAATTCAATGATTTTTTATCTTCTTTATCACTATTTTTTTTTATAAGTATAGTACTTAAATGCTACGAAATAAGATGTATGCAATTAAAAAAATAAATGTACTTTAAATGATAGCAAAATATTATTTCACCACACATAATCAGCATTTAATTATGTAACAAACTATGCTTGCTGCGTAATTTCGCAAAACTAAGAGCACGCAGTTGATCAAATAATCGAAAGTTTGTAATGTAAAGCATGAACTCTAAACAATATTTAACATCACTCATTCACAATTGTGTTCACTAGTGCTGAGTTCTTAAATTCCGACAGTGAACAACTTGTGCAAAGTAGATACATAAATTTTTAAGAGATTGTGAGTTAATGCGTTTGATGTTTATCAAATTCTGTCCGCGGAAGTAGTGCAACTATCGAATTATTTGCTTGATAAAGAGATTATTTTATTCAATACATATCATATATTTAAAAAATTCATAATAATTAAATATTTCAAATATTAGAGAAAGAAAATATTTCTTTAAATTTAACAAAAGTTTGCATTAAAAATTGTAAGCGTAAGTGCAAAACTGTAAATAAAGTACAAAATAAATTAAAATAAACGTATGTATTAAAATTGGCACAATTTTCAAGCATCGTACGACGATATCGTATCGTTTAGGGATTCCTTTTAGAAATTCCTTTATCTAAATAAGACATTTTAATTACAATCTTAACAAAAACAGCCGTATTTTACGGCAAGATTACTAATTGCACCGATCGTATCGCATACCACGTAACCAAGAAAAATTAGTTGATATTGCGACAATTTAAGCTCGAATCGTCTCACTGTTTACTGAAAACTTGGCACTATGTCATTTTGCAGTTTAAAAATTCGCCTCGCGGGAAAGTAATGGCTTCCAAGATTTTAACTTTTTGTTCCGATGTTTACCGGATACTACTTAACGGAATAGCCGTCGTCGTTCAATTTGTACACTATCAAAAAGTATCACGGCCAATTTCGTACACTCGCGGTTCAACGTTGGCTTAAGTAAAATCGTGCTTTCTAAATCTTGGTGAAACAGCCAAATGATATATCGCGACGACTCCGCAATGCATTACCGCGTACGTATTAGTAGCAACACCGGTTGACAAGTGCACAAGCAGCCATTGTACTCGCGAACACTAAGCAGAATCTTCGCATAGCATTGCTTTGACGGACGGAACATTAATTTCACACGGCAATTTCATCATTTGTCACGAGAGAGTTGATTAAACTGGTCGCAAGGTGATCGGTTTCTATAGAAAACGGATTATCGAATTTTCTCTAAAGAGACTTAGAGACTTAGAGGTTAAAGGACTTAGAACGAACTTTATCGTACTCATAAGTAACAGTATTTACAATGACTCACATGACAACTCGATAGAAACAGTATCGAGAACTTTGTGCAAATTTAGTAATGTTGTAGTTGAGGACCTCCCTTCATGAGGAAATTGATTTCTTCAATATCTCAGCTTGACATTAAAACGAGGAATCAATTTTGTTGGCATTTTGTTCAATAAATAATAGAAATTCAATGGTCTTGTTGTCTTTTGATATATTATTTGAAATTCTGCCAATAAAAGTGTAATTTTTAATAGCATTGGACAAATGGCATTTGAATAATAGTATAACAGAACGCCAGTGACTTAATTATAATATTTTTCAATACATCATTCAAGTGTGACTTCATTATCTTCTAATACATTATCAAATCAAAATCTCACTTATTATTCAAGACAATAATTAATCATTGTAAAGAAAGAAAAAAATTGGAATGTATCAGTTGTGCATTATGGTCACTCAAATTGCAAAAATTTACACGAAATTTCGTCTATATTTGAACAGTTGGGTGTTTCCGGAGCATTGGGTTCGAGTAGATTACGCGTATAATCTTCGATAAATCCGCGAAGTTAATTAACACCGGAAGAGATTTCGCGATATCGGAGAGAATTAAAACCATTGGAATTAATTGCAACTGATCAGAATTGACCGGAATTAACAAAGCAAACCGATTGGAATTGAGGGAGATAACGGGACAGGCTCGATAAAATCCAACCACTTGTTGGCGCAACAAGTATATTTATTCAGAATCGGCAAATACGCGCCGATACAATTACACGCGTGTTTATCAATGCTGGTTAAATACTTCCGCCCCGGACTACAACCGCGATAAACAAATATTTATTCAGTAAAAAATTTCAAATTATATAGCTATACAGAATCCCTAATCTGTTCGAAATCCACTCATATTCTTTTCTATTCTTATCCGTTTCAAAAAACCTTTTCCAATTTAATATCGTCATTTTGCAACTGATTGTATTATTCTGCATAAAAAGTTGCTAATAACATGAGTTGTATAACTTTTTACTTTTTATATTTTAAAAAAGAAATTCAATGATATTCAGGAAAGCATATATAATTGTAATTTGCACAAAGTCAAAACAATGTCTACTTTTTTAATACCATTCATATAGCCTATGAATGGAATATTAAATTAATCAAGTCACAATGCAATGTTTTCAGCTTAATTATTAAGTATAGAATAACATAGAAATTGCATATAAAATTGCAATGCACTTTTATTATAATGTCGATTTACTGTACTATTTTGTAAATAATTTTATGCTGCAGTGGGTACAATTCAATGGAAAGTTTAATATTAATTATAAAAAATAAATTTGCCGGTTTTTGTAATGGTATGAAAGCGTATCATATGCAAACACGATATAAAAGTGTATGTTGCAGTTGAATTGTATTATTGTAATACGGGAGTAGCATACTGTTTTTATACACGAGGGTAAATTTGCGAGTTCTTCGACACGTGCGCGAGCGTGGGCGCGTGCGAGCGCGACGCCGCGTCGGACCGGTGATTCCTTCTCTCCGACTGGCTCTCGGCGCGCCTTCAGTCGCGTTCCGCGCGTCGTACGAGCGAGTGTGTTTTTACTCGCATCCTTTTCGTTGGACCATACTACCTTCTACCCTTTACCCATCTGTCTGTCTGGGCGATATGTTCGGCGACGTGACGTAATGAAAGTTTAAGAGACTACAGAGACACGAGTAATAAAGCACGAAGTGAGCCAAACAATTGGCAGCGGAGTGCTCGTTAAAACGTCACAGAGAACTCTAAATTTTTAGGAAAAAGAACATTTATTGACATTCCAATCTGTCGATCGAAATCGACGACAAACGGGTCGCGCGTTAACCGACGTCGCCGATCGAGTTTACCGCTCGATTCGTGTACGGTGCCGCGAAACAGATCCGCGATCGGAGTTGACAGACAGTGCTTTCGCGATAGTGTTTTGCGGGAAATAGACTGCCAGATGATTCGCGTATCGTCCCATATTCGAGATACAGTCGTGATGAAACTTCCGTGACTCGAATGGGACGTTTGTAAAGCGCACCGATTTCGTGAACACCTTTGCTGTAAAATAAACTACATTTAAAGGGTCGAGCGAGCAGCGTAACCTGTTGCGGAATGCGATATTGAGATACTGTTAATGCCCGTGAGATCATTCTTCACCGTTGCTTCACGTAAGGGTTCCTTTTCTCCCCTTAAAGCAAACAGTCGTATATCTCGCTCGTTAACACAATTTTCCGGATATAAGAAGTAAAATAAGTGTATCGATTTTGATATAACAATATACAAATAGAGTGAATTAGAGTGCTACTACTGACAAGAAAAGTTTCGTTCTCAGATATTATTTAAACATTAAACGAAATTATCATGATACTTTAATTAAGATATTTTTAAGCAGACTGAGAATTTATTTAAATTAAAAAGATATAATCAGATTACTTGACGATTGTAGCAAAAATCTATTGATTCTAATTGATAACTAATTAATATATTCGTTAATAGCAAAAAATCTGATACTGTATAAATATAATTCGTTGAAATAAATCGTAAAAGAATATCAAAGAAAATTATATTAAATTACTAAACTTTATTCATCTAATTGTAAGTTTTTCCTAATTCATAAATATACTTTCATTTAAATATAAGAAATAATTATTATTCGCAACATCGTTCGCATTACTATAACATAAAAGAAATTTAAAAATGTTAATAACTCGATTATTTCTTGCATATCACATTGCATAATTCGATTGTCTGATAAAATTCAGAAACTGCATACAAATTACAAAATCAGGTTGTTTCTCTTGTTTTCAGTCTGAATTTATTATCGGTTTCAAAGTGTCAACCATAAATATTGAAGCATTTTAAAACCAATCGTAAATATAGATTGTAAATGAAAGAGAAATAATTCGGGGTGAATAAGTTGATTTTAAAGTTTGCGTGTTATCCAAGTTTCCTTTGCTGGCATTTATCTTTTAAAACAAAATACGTGTCAATATTCCTCTTTTATGTCTTTATTCTCGATGTAATAAATTCACGGTACAATTCTATTCTCAATTACAAATAAAAGAGACATAAATACCTTTTGATTATAATGCACAGAGAAAAAACATTTTTATCTTTTAAATATGCATATACTAAAAATATAAAAAATTTTAACGACGTAATTAAGAAAGAGCTATATTAACTGATGTATGTCAGCTTATATTCTCTTCCTTCATCTTCCTTATCCTCTAAGATTAGGAAAGATCCGCGCTTTCTCGACTATCTTTCATTTAATAAAAATTTGAGTATTTTTTCTTAACAAATTTTTTCAAGTAACAGCAATCACGTCAATTAATATAAGACATGTTAATTAAAGGTTCGTAAAAAATAAAATAAAAAGAATTATGAAAACGCGGCCATGCTTTGCTTCGAGCTCCCAATAATAATCTCGTGTAAATCGCTCCGACTGTGTTACATTACCATCGATATCGTGCTGTTCTTTGAGAGTGTAGATCGTGTGTATCATAATAAGTTACACGGTTGCATCGGTACGCGGAAGATCAAAGAGAAACCATCCATCGTCAATATTATCTTTTTAGAATCAGCAGCTCGTAATACCTTGTAACACCCTTTGCTTGCGGCCAGTAGAAAAAGGCAAAGCATGCTGAACTTGCGTGGTAAGCTGTGCTTTTGATATCC